AACGATGTATCCTGTTTCAGAATGAAAAGAGAAAAAGAGCTTTTCTTTTTGTAATGCAGCACTGTTTGAACTTTGAATGGCGGCAGCGGTGGACACACACAGGCATTCTCTTCCTTTTCCTTTTTCAGTCTTCTCTTTTTCCGATGTCCACCTATGTGCTCTACCTTGTTTGGCAACAAACAGCACTGTACTGTACAGTACAGACATGCAGCGGGCACCCGGGCGACTTGATTGGCGCCATTGATATGGAAAGTAATTGCCTGCCGATGTCATCGATCAGTGGCAGCAGTGGGGAGCTCCTGCTCTGGTGCACTCAGTGCTGCTGCTGCTGCTGTGATCGGGTTGGATCGAAGTGGCTTGCGCCGGTGCAGGATTCAGTGCCAGTGCTGATGGCGCTGATGCTCTGGCAGCGTGCATTGTCCCACTAGACTGCCTGACTGAAAGTGTGTTTATGTGCAGAGTCATTCACCTCGATCTCTCTGGGTTCCCAACTCTCTTGCCCTCTCACACAACCCCTCTTTTTTTCCTTTTTCTTCTTCTGTTTCAATTGAGCCATGGAGCCACAGAACACTACACTAGTTTGTTATAGGAAGTTCCCCTTTCTTTTCTTTCTTTTATCGCTCTACCTCCCTGTCTTCTTTTTCTCTGCTATAATCGCATCATCATTATGGCACAGAAAAGTGGAAGAAGAAAGACAAAGAAGTATGTGTGTACTCTATGTGTGCATAAGTGGGTATACGAGGATTACGATTGGAAAAGAGAAAGGCAGGCAAGCTAGGTGCACCAGAAAAAGGGGGCAAACAGGAGAGATCGATAGATGAAGTGCATGTTTGTGACTGTGTCTGTGTCTGAGCACCCTAAGTGGCCACTGTGGGATTGTCGATTTGTCCTCGGTGCCTCATCAATTGCCTGCCAGGCCAGAAAACTGCAAGCAAACTGAACTGAAAGCAAACAGACAGACGGGCAACAGCAGCAAACTGATGAGAACATCACGAGATGAGCTCATCAGAGGCAGGCCAAAGCAGCACTTGTACACATCGACAAGGGTGCAAAAAATCGTCGCCAATGGCAATGACAGTGGCGGTGTTAATTAAATTAGACTTAGAGGTTTGCCTAATTAGCAGCAGCAGCAAGGAGATAAGGGGCAAAAAGTTTGCATTTGTGGATTGCAGAATGTGCCTGTATGTGTGAGTGTGCATCCGCCCATGAACCAAGGTGTCACTGGCCTGTAAAAAAGAAGAAAGAAAAAAAGATAAAAGTTCATATTCATAGAGAAAACACAGGAAGGGGACTTGCACTCTGAAACGGAACGGCGAGATTGAGTCCGCGCTTCAGTGCACAGTCTGGTCAATCCAGTGCAATGTTCGATTTGGTTCAGTTTAGCTCAGTTTGCGCCCTGCAGCGCGACGGAACTGCCGTCTTGTTCTGGCAGTAACTTTTTCTTTCTGCCACGACAAACACATCTCGCCTTAAAAAAAAGAGGAACGGAGATTTGCAGGCAGTTACTTCTTTTTTCCTCTGTCTTTTGCCTGACACTGCCACAATCTGCTGCTGCTGTCGCATCTCCAGATGCTCAATTTGATCGCTGTTGTGTTTTTCTTTTTTTGCTCGGATAGTAAAAAAGCAGTTGCGCGAACCAGAGTGGGAAAGAATGGCAGGCCTTAAATAATAATTGCCGTATCGTTTTCGTATTCGTTTTCCAGTGTTTGTGTGTGTGTGTGCTCAAACTTGCCTGAACAAGCCCTGTCGGAATGAGAAGGGGAAACATGAGATTGGAAAGCAGCAGCAGAAGTGGCAGTCGGCAAACTGCCGGTCTCAGTTTCCTCGTTTAGAGCTGACAAGTTCTGCCGTGGTTGCTGCTGTTGCCGCCGTCGAAGACAATGGCTGCTAATTGAATTATACAATTGAAAAAGGAAGAGAAAATGAAAAGAGAATATAAAGCGGCAACGGCAGCGGCGGTAGATTACAGTTGAGAACAATGAGAAAAAACAATGGAAAAACTTCGGATCGGCAGCAGCCTTGATCAACAGGATTGCCGCTGAAAAAGNCCGGTCTCAGTTTCCTCGTTTAGAGCTGACAAGTTCTGCCGTGGTTGCTGCTGTTGCCGCCGTCGAAGACAATGGCTGCTAATTGAATTATACAATTGAAAGAGGAAGAGAAAATGAAAAGAGAATATAAAGCGGCAACGGCAGCGGCGGCAGATTACAGTTGAGAACAATGGGAAAAAACAATGGGAAAACTACGGATCGGCAGCAGCCTTGATCAGCAGGATTGCCGCTGAAAAAATGATGTGAACTGCTGCCAGATCGTTTTAAGAGGACCCGGTACAGGAAGAAAAAAATTCCATTCTATTCTTTAACATTGAGCTGTAGTATCTTCTTCTTATTTTCCTATTCCGCAAAGTTCGATGAGCTCTGTGAGATGAGAGAGTTTTGTTCATGAAATCTTGTCAGCTGGTGGTAGTGGTGGTGGTGGTGTGCAGCGGTCGGCGATAAATGAGCGGCAGCTGCAGCGGCAGTTTTTCCTTCTCAGTTTTTTCGCACTCCATCTTTTTTACAGAATGGTAAATCATAAATGTCAACATATAAAGACGGAGAATACAAAAAGAGGGTTTGAGGAAGGGACGGCTGATAGGAAAGACTATCACCCCCTCTCCACTGAAAACGCATTGACCCCGGCAGTGGAGGATGATGAGTTCAATGGAGAGCAGCAGCAGCCTAAGAAAGCTGTCACAATCTGAAATCTTTTGCTGTGTGTGTTGTGTGGTGCAGCCCATTCACTGAGTGATCACTTTCCCCATCAGCACTTTCTGAGCATCAGCTATTGTTGTTGTTCACTTCTTTATTTTATTTCATTTTTTTTTCAATGCGGGTATCATGAGGGACAACACCAGTACAGTAGTGTGACAACAGGCACTTTTAAAACGCCAGTAATAAAGTCTAAATCAAGCAAGACAGACAGACAGGAAGTGCCAGTGATGCTATTGTCTTTTTACAGCTAAAAATTACTACTTTCGGGTTTTTAGAAGGCGGAAANAACATGAGTGTGAGTGTGAGTGAAACATGTGAGTCAATGTGGATGAACTGTGGTGACTAGTGCGGAGGCACTACAATTTCATTTTTTAAGTGCGGTATCATGAGGGACAACACCAGCACAGTAGTGTGACAACAGGCACTTTTAAAACGCCAGTAATAAAGTCTAAATCAAGCAAGACAGACAGACAGGAAGTGCCAGTGATGCTATTGTCTTTTTACAGCTAAAAATTACTACTTTCGGGTTTTTAGAAGGCGGAAAAGTGCTGGTGAATAGGGAGAATGAATGGATTCAAGATTCTTCCTTGGCGTGCAATTTCCCAGTGCTTTCTCTTTTGCCTTTTCTTTACTTTGCGGAAACATCTCGAAACGTATGTGTGTGTGTGTGTGTTTGTGTGCGCATAGCCTTCTCACTGATGATGACAGGACTGAAAGTAACTAAACAACCACACTTCTGGTACTACCACTAACAGGAACAACAACAGCGACAGCAAAGCTTTTCCCCCTTCTCTTTCTTCCAAACGGTTGATGCGTAGTAGTTGTACAATTAAAACGCAGCAGCAGCGGTGGCGGTTGTGGCAGAACCAAATTGTCTTGCGTGTTTGCTTGCTCGATGATGATCACGATGATGATGATGATAGATGGATCAAATGGATAGGGCAACAGAAGCCGTAGCAGCAGCTCTGAGAGTTGCTGCCGAGTTAAGTACACCGCCACTACACAGAAAGATCGGGTAGGGAACAGGGAACCGAATGGCTGGTCTATAATACACAGGCAGCAGCTATTATCTGTTCTCTATCAGCACCCTCTCACCCCTCTCTCCCCTTCATACTTTCATTCATTGGATGCTAGACAGCTCAAATATTTGATTACACTACCCGAGCGTGTCTGCACTCTGAGCCCCTTCTGCTAGCTGAAAGTGTGTGTGTGTGTGTGTGTGTGTGTGTACAGGGTGCGAGGGTACTTCAGGGGAATGGGCTAGAGAGAGAGAGAGTCTTGAATAAAGGGAAAAACTAGTAGTAGTGATACTGAGCGGGTGAAAGTGATAGTGCTCTCGGGTAGTGCTGCTTTTATGCAAATGAAGTGTGTGTGTGTGTGTGAGAGAGAGAGAGAGAGAGAGAGAGAGAGAGAGAGAGAGAGAGAGAGAGAGAGAGTTAAAACGGAAAAAACGGCAGGCAAACAAGGAAGTGTCACTCACTCTTTCTTTTTTTCTCCTCTCGAGTAAAAACTTACTCAGTTTGTAGCACACAGAGGCACCAGACTTAACACTATCACAGCAGCAGCAGCTAAAGTAGCGGCTAAATCCCTAAAAATAACGGCAATCGGGGTTCAATAAGTTAGAAGGGTCGCGGCTGCTGCTGTTGCTGCCGTTTCTATTACCCAACATTGAAGCCCTTTGAGTCCCCTCACTACTACCACTTCCTGATTAGTGGTGGCAGTACTCTTTCTTTCTTTTTTTCTCTGGCATCGATCAACGCAAAAAACCGAGTAAACGAATATTAACGACATCAACAACAACAACAGTGAAAGAAAAAGCAAAAAAGTTCGGGTGCACTGATGTTCGGTGCGGTTACGGTTCGCCTTTACAGGAATGCCTCACACCGGAATTAGCAAGTGCTAAACGGGTACTTTGCTTGCGTGTTGTTTACTACCACCAAACACACTAGCAAACTCACATGCAGCACAAGTCTAGCTTTTGTCTAGCCACCCGAGTACTGCTACTGCTGTACTCAATCTCTCCCGTATCGGTCTGTCTGTCAGACAGACTGTCAGGGGAGAATGTCAACACCAGTAATAGAAACACAGATCGAAATTGATCGGAGCAATGAAAAATGAGTGGACTTACTTACTTACTTACGCCTACGATCCTCCGTTCCGATTGTCATAATCAATAACCATAATATCGTAATCACCCCCTCACTTTCAGTTCGTTTATATTTATTCATTTCACTTTAACGGTTTCCACAGGCAAAACCTCCATCGTCCGCCGCCTGCTCTCTGAGGAGCACTTTGTGGAGAATCACATTCCAACGGTGGAGGAGCTGTACCAGCTGGAGTACAAGTCCCGCGGCTCGGACGTGACGCTGGTGCTTGACCTGCTCGACACCTCGGGCAGCTATCCCTTTCCAGGTAAGCTATATTACTTTTTCCATCAGCTTATTAGTTTTGATTGTGATTGAAGCCTGCAACTTTAGTTTCAGTTTGTGTTATATGTTTCAAACTCTCAGCTAGTCAATTTAGAGCAAGGCACTTCAGAACAATCGACTAGTTAAATTGCTTTATTTTGTTGTAAAAGGCAATAAATAGTGAGTGCTGTTGACCCCTTTGCTGTGTTCATGAGGTCACTGATTTTGGATTTTTAAACATTAGCAGTTTATGCTAATGGAAAACCGATGTACCACCGCTGACCACTGACCTCAATCAGCTGTAACTTTTATCATCATTAGAAACAGTTGCCTTCTTCTTCTTCTTCTTCTTCTTCTTCTTCTTCTGAGACCACTTAGCAGCAGCAACACTACAGGCACTAGCAGGCACTAGTCTCAGCTGTTGCTGACATCCCGCTGTCAGCAACAGCGTTCAGAGCACTTAGTTTACAGAATTTACACAGCTAGAAATTTCTTTAACCAGAAAATACTAAACGCATTTTGTACTTTTCTTTCCCCATTTTACTCATTCTCACAGCAATGCGCGAGCTGGCAATTCGCTCTGCGGACGCCTTTCTGCTGGTGTACGCCGTCGACGACGCCGACTCCTACGAGGAGGTGATTCGCCTGAAGGAGCACATCTACGCGCTGCGAGGCGAAACTGGCGTCCCGCCGGTGGTCGTCGTCGCCAACAAGACCGGTGAGTTGGACAAAGGCAAAGATCCACAGGAGCAAAAAAATCTCTGCGTGTGCTTACATGAAACGTCCATTAACCCAAAATTGTTACCATTTTTTTGTTAGATCTGGTGGGAAGCCGTGTCATCGACACCAACCTGGTCGACTCGGTGGTGAGCATCGACTGGGAGTTTGGCCACGTCTGCTGCTCGGCAAAGGCCAACGAGAACGTCTCGCGCATCTTCACGCAACTGGTCCGCCAAAAGATCCAGCTGGAGCGCCTGGAGCTGGAGCGTGGAGTTGCAGTTGGAGGTAATTTCCCTGACAACGAGAGCGACGGCGGAAACTCCGTAGAGGCGGAGGTGTCGCCGCTCAGCCGCGCCTCCATTAGCTCCTCGGAAAGGCTCTTTTTTGGCGGCTCGCTGGAAGAGCCTCCTCATCACCACCACCACTTTGGGAGTTTCAGCTTCGGCAGCAACCACAGCCTGGAGTCAAACTCGGTGGACTCGCGCAAGAGCTCCATCACCGACTCGGAGCTGGAGTTTCGCCTGAAACAGGGCTTCAAGAACGGCTCCAACTGCATCATCTCGTAGGGTGGTGCTGCTACTACTACTTATCTCTTTTTGGTGATCTCGGGTTTTCTTTTCTTGTTCGTTTGTTTGCTTGCGATCGGTGCTCGCTGATTGTCTCGGGCCTAGAACTCCAGAACTCGACGAATTCCTTCCCCTTCTTTCTTTCCTTCCTTCTTTCACCATCTCTCTTCACGTCCTCTTCCCTTGATCTCTCCATGCACACTCCATCCAGGCTTCCTTTTGGCGTCTTTCTCACAACACAACTTTCCAACACACATTTCACACACTTTACACACATTGCACACAATTCCCTCAACGCCTGAAACTCTCTTGCTGTCTGTCTTTGTCAATGCTGAAGTGTGAAGTGAACTGATTTTACTCGGCTTTTTGTTGTTGTTGTTGTTGCTCCTTCTTTGCCCGCCTTGCATCTGCAACATCTGGATTTCGGTGACAAGAGCAGACAGACAGGCAGACACACTCTACACATGCACACACAAGTACACACAACACACTTTCTCAATTTACAACTGCGACTTTTTATGATCCTCTTTACTCCCTCTCTCATTCCTTTTCTCTCTCTCTCCTTTTCCTTCTTGATCTCTTGATCCCCTGATCTCTTTTCCTTCCCTCCCTTTACTCTACTTTACTCTACCCTCACGATCCTTCGACCGTTTCACAGTGGCACAGTCACAGCTACACATTTGTTCCCGGGCGATCCTTCTTCGCTGACTTCAGCCCATCAACAGCTACACCAAAAAAACAGTACACTGCCCCATTTCTGGCACTGTACTGGCTGCTAATCAGCCGTCCTGCACAGCCCAAATCCTTTCAACTGACCAATTCTGCAATTGAAATCCTATACCAGTAATTGTTGTACTCGCAGTAGCGCCCATGTTCTTTGCTGTTCTTTTTCTTTTCTTCACTACCAACAAAACAACACTTCTCTTTGCAGTACTTCTCTTCAGAGCATTCATTCAAATCTGAAAAGAAATCAAACAGTGTTTAGCGAAGTGCTGCCCCCTTTTTCCTTCCAAGACTGAATTTCTCCCTATCTTTTTCTCTGTAACGATTTAGGCTTACGTTTCTAGTCCAGTTCCACTGGTCGTTCCCTTCTTCTTTGAATCATTGTGTCATTGTGCCGATTTACAAGATACACACACAAACAAACAAACACACAAACACCACATTTCTTTATACGAAAATCTCCTTCTCTCCTCTCTTCTGGATAAACGTTCGATTTTTCGACTCGCTGGCGATGCTTAATTCTACCATTCTCCCTTCTCCTATATACACGCTTTCATTAAAAAGTTGGCAAAGGCTTGCCTGATTAACCTTCTGAACACATATTCTGTCTTTGAGTTTGGATAAGCAGTGTTTCAGTGCTGCACTGCAATGAGTTTCTGAAAGATTAGCTTACTTAGAGCCCGAGAAGAAATCGCTACTCAGTGTGCTCAGTGGACAGAAATGAAAGTCCAGTGTCTAGAACAACGGTCAAGTATACCCCTTAGTATCTTTACTTTCGGTATCGATAAAGTAATAAAGTAATTTAGTAAAACAGCAGATAAAACTGTGAAATGAACCGCAAAATGCAAGATGGCTGTAGTGACTACTAACAGAGAATCTAGAGGGTGTAGGATATAAAGCGAACAGAAAAAAGTAGGTGTGTGGGGTGTATTTTCAAGCTAACACGGTACTGAGGGAAAAAATAAGAGAAAATAAGGTAACAGTAGGAGAAATAATTAAAGAAAAAGTGAAAGAAACAGTGTGCCAGTGTCCCACCATATTACGCCTCAAACTTGAGCTCCTGACTCTCGGTGATGCAGATCGACTCGACGAAGCTGTCAAACTGCGGCGCATTGGACTCCAGCTCGGCCAGCTGCTGGCTGAGCTCGTTGATCATTTCACTGCTGCCGCCGTCGTCGGCGCCGCCGCTGACACCGCCACCGCTGTGGACGCTCTCCTCGTTCAGGCTGGGGTTGCTGACAAAGGTCGGCGAGGGGCCGTGGAAGAAGGAGCCAAACTCGCGGTCGTCCGAGGCGAAGGGCGCGTTCAGCTCCACAAAGACGAAGGAGTCGTTGGAGGTGGAGTAGACGCCCTGAGTCTGCGGCGACTTTGAGAAGAGGGTGGCGCCGGCGGCGGCAGATGACTTTGGCGGTGAGGAGAAGAGACCCCTCCCGTTGGAGGGAGGAATGCTGATGGGCGCCGATGTTCTGCTGTTGTTGCTGCCGCCGCCGTTGGCCCTCCTCGGCTGTTCGTTCTCCTTCGAGTCGCTGTCACTTCGGCCCAGTTGTTGGTGGCCTGAGGTTATGGACTGTACCTCTGCCGCCGCCGCCTCTTGATCAGCCTGATCGTCCTTTCTCGGCAGCAGTGCGCTGAAAGGCGTTCCATTGGTGAGGTCGTCCAGGCTGTCCTTCTCTGTTTTGGGGAACAAAGATGAAGGTTAGAGAAGCGCCATAAGAACGTTTAACAAGTCTTACGAAAGGAAGCAAAGGCCGGATTGAGGGGCTTGAAGAGCTCAGTCACGTCAAAGGTCTTGTCGCAAAAGGCCTCCAGCGGTTCATAGTCGGCGTCGGCGGTAACCGCCTCCCCCTCCACCGACTTGAAGTGGTCGTCCTTCAGTGGAAGCAAGAGCAGATTCTGTTGCTGCTGCTCCGTCGTGCTCCTATCACAATTGCGTCCGCCGTCCAGTGCGGCGAGAATGTTGTTGTTGACTGTTTCCTCCTCCGCCGAGTTCATGCTCATGCTGGTGCGGTAGATCAGCGAGATGGAGAGCTCATTACAGAAACTCTTGATGGTGCCGAGCGGCTTTGCCGTGGAGAAGACTGATGGGCTTGATGTTCCGCCACCACCGCCACTGACAGTGTCCATGATGAAAGCTTCGTCGCAGGGGAAGACGCGGTAGCAGATGACGTAGGAGTCGGCACTTTGGCCCTTTGAGCTGACCTTGTAGGCGGGTGTCGATCGGCTGAGCGTGATGAGCGACTTGAGCATGCCACTCATGCGACTCAGTAGCTGGTAGAGCGTCTGTTGCTGCTGCTTCTGTTGCTGATGCTGATTCGAGGGCTCAGATGAGGAGTTGGTGGAGTAAGTACCCACTGGCACGTTGGAGAAGATCCAGTACTCGAGGACTAGACTGATGCCGTCAGAGTTGCGCAGTGATATCTCACAGCAAATCTTCCAGCTTTTTCGAACGAAGCACTGAGGAGAGTTTGGTAAAGAATGGGTAGATTTGTGTTGTTGACTTGTTGATGATGAGTTGGAGTTGGTGCTGTTGGTGCTGCTGCTGCTGTTTGGGTTTGAAGACTGATTTGGTGAGGATGCTGCTGCTGTGGCTGTGTTGATGAGCTTAAGACATCTTGCAGTCTGCTCGGCGATGTCCTGAAAATCGGGTATGTCTAGGTAGAACCAGTCTCGGCCGTGGGGGTTACACCTCGTCTGCGTTCGCTTGCTGGTGCCCAGTCGCGACTGGACGATCACCTGGACGCACTTTTGAACGAAAGTCTGCACGAATTTGTCGATCTCCAGGAGGGACATGGTCTGCGCTGACACGGCAGCAGGCAGCACTGATAAGTGGATGGATGGAGAGGGTCAATGCTGAGAACTAGAAGAACCAGAAGAGCACCAGCAAAGAGTTGTAGGGGCCTGCAATCAAGCGGTCATCACATCACGCCACAGCACTGATCGACGATCACCCACAAGACACCAGGATGGACAAAAAGGTACCCAAAAGTTAGAGCAGTTTTAAACGTAGTAGTTGTTGTCGTCCACGCAGGCTGCTGAAGAAGTAGAAGTGGCAGCGTTTACTCAAAGTGTCGGGAGTCGGATCAAAACAAGAAGACGAGCTCCCTTCTGCGTACACATCTCCTCTCTTATCTGCAGTGCAAGACACTGGCTCCGCCCACCAGCACTTTCGCTGCTGCAGCGCGGCTATATGCACACGCTGTACAGCTGCTGCTGCTGCTCAGCGCCTGGGAAAGTCACGTGGAAGCGCCGCCGCCGCTGCAAACGTCTGACAACAACAAACGAAGCCGAAGTCTCTTCTAAAGAATCTCCCAAACTTCTCTGGTTTCTTCTATCCTTGCCTTTGATCGTGTCATGGAGGCCACCACTAATGGCAGTGGCAGTGCTTCTGAGGAGGTGATTGTCGAGGGGAAGGCGAAGATTTTCAAGCGGCCCGGCGTCTTCTACAACAAGGTGCAAGAGTTTAACCGGGATCTGAGGTAAGATTTGAGCTTTCTTCTAGATTTTCTTTGAGACTATACTACCTGATGATGATCAACAGCGTTTTGGCGGTTCACACCTACCTGAAGAATAGTCTCTGGAAGAAGAGCAAGAAGGTGTTCATCAAAGACAAGGTAAGGAAGATCTGAGAAGTGCCCCAAAAGATCCTCTATTTCTAAAATTCCGAATAATACAGGTCACCATCCTGGACGCCCTCTCCGCCACTGGGCTGCGCTCCATTCGCTACGCACTGGAGTGCCGCTCCGGCAGCCCGCTGCCCGTGGAGATAGTGGCAAATGACATCTCCAAGGCGGCCATTGCCACCATCCAGGCGAACGTCGCCGCCAACGGCGTCGCAGAGGCCGTTATCGTCAACGAGGACGACGCCAGGTGCGTCTTAATCTTCTCATCTTCTTTTTATTGCCCCTTTTCTGTGTTTACAATCGCTAATTTAATCTTATCCCAATACCACTACCAGTCTGATGATGTACAAGCGAAAGGGCAGCGGACTGGGGGAACGGCTGACCGTCGTTGACCTAGACCCGTACGGCAGCCCGGCGCCCTTCCTCGACGCCGCCATTCAGACGGTGGCCGATGGCGGCCTGCTGATGGTCACCTGCACCGACATGGCCGTCCTCTGCGGCAACCACGGCGAGGCCTGTTACGCCAAGTACGGCGCCGTTCCCCTCAAGGCCAAGTTCTGCCATGAAATGGTAAGGAGGAATGGGTGGATTATTGAACAAAATTCAGTGATATTTTTGGTGTTCTTTTTTTCCGCACAGGCACTTCGCATTCTCCTGCAGTCGCTGGAATCGCATGCCAACCGCTACGGCCGCTACATCGTCCCGCTGCTCTCCCTCAGCATCGACTTTTACGTGCGCATCTTTGTGCAGGTTTTCACGTCGCCCTTTGAGACGCGCAAGAGCACTAGGTAAGTAGTGGAACTTTTTTGAAAACCAACTTTCCATCAACAACTTTTTCAACTCCTCTTCCACACAGCAAACTGAGCTACATCTACATCTGCACCGGCTGCGAGTCCTTTCAGCTGCAGCCGCTGACTCACCAAAAGTTTGCCGACCCCAGCAAGCCGCACTACCTCCCTTCGAAGGTCCTCTTCGACTCGACCTGCGAACTCTGCGGCCGGGGACTGCAGATTGGCGGCCCCTTCTGGTCGGCGGAGATTCACTGCCCCGCCTTTGTCAAGCAGATGAAGGCGGAGCTGAGGGCGACTGCAGCAAACAGTGAAAACAGCGATACATCCGCTTCCTCCTCCTCTTCCACGACCACCATCCCCGCCCCCTTCACCACCTTTGGCACCTACCGGCGGATGGAGGGCCTCCTCGAGGTGGTCAGCGAGGAGCTGGTCGGCTGTCCGCTCTACTACCACCTCGACCGCCTCTGCTCGCTGGCGCGAACGCGAATGCCGCCGGCGGCGGTGGTCCGAGCCGCCATTCTCTCCGGTGGCTACCAGGCTTCTGTCTCGCACGCGCTTAAGAATTCCCTCAAGACGAACGCCCCCAATGAGTACGTGTGGGCGGTGCTGCAGGCGCTGGTGCGCGCCGAGGCGGAGGGAGGCACCCCTTCGAAGCTGCAGCCGGGCGAGCCCGTGCACACCATCCTCCAGCGGGACTTTGGCTACGGCGACACGGTCAGCCTGGAGGTGACCGAGGAGGCGGCCGCCGCGGAGCCGGGCTCCAAGGCGCGCCACCTCCTGCGTTACCAGGTGAACCCCGAGGCGGGCTGGGGGCCAAAGGCCAGGCCGAACAATGAGAAGGCGGAGACGAAGCGGAAGAACAACCAGGGAAAGAATGCCGACAAAAAGGGGATCAAGAGGACCAAGTTTGTGGAGGAGAATGATGAGAACCTGCCCGTCGATGACCTTGGCCTGCCATCTGGAGACACTGCTGCTGCTGCTGCATCCCAGAACCAGGAAGCAGGAGGTGAAGAGCAGTGAATGGATGTTGCAAAAAAATGTTATTGTTAGAACGTCACACGAGAGAGATTCACTCGAAAAAATATGTGTCCAATTTTTGGTTGTGCATCACAAGTCGGAAAGGGGGAGAACAAAGACTGTCTTCATCACATCTTGATCATCAGTACGTGTACAGACGGCCCTTGTAGTGAGTGGGCGAGGGCAGCCGCCTCCAGTGGAGCAGACTTCGAACCGCTGTCGAACCGACCAACATCGGCGACCAGCCACCGGGCCACCAGGACCGCCGCCACCAGTGCCAGCAGCAACACCACCACCACCGACCCCGACAGAGGCCCGAGCTCCAGCGGAGGAGACGGAGGAGGCGGCCGAGCAGCGTGGGCGGCGGTCGTCCGCCGTTGATGTACAGCGCGTAGCAGTAGCCGTCGGCGGCGGCGCTGTTGATCAGGTAGTAGAGGGGGAGAAAGCGGTGCCGGCGGAAGGCCATCTTCTCGTAGAAGTGAATGGCCGCCGTGTTGGTGGTGAGCACGTGCAGGTAGACCGCCTTCACGTCCTCCAGCATCGGGTTGGCGGTCAGGCTTTCGGTCAGCTTGGAGAGGAGGAGGGTGGCCACGCCGTGCCGACGCCACTGGCCCACCACGCCCAGAGTGAGGATGTAGGCGACGCGAGGGCTGCTCGTTGAGGAGGCTGTGTTTGAGGTAGAAGAGGAGGAGGTGGAGCCCTCGACGAGCAGACCAATGTCCTCATGGTTGCACCGGGCGTAGGGCTTTATCTCGGCGACGAGCAGGCCGATGATGGTGTCCTTCACGTCGCCGACAGTGGCCACCAGTGTGTAGAACTTGTTGCTCCCGGTGATGTCCTCGTACCAGCTGTCGGGGTATCTACAAAAAAGTAAGGGAGCAAAGATAAGCGAGAATTGCGGAGGAGGAGGAGGAGGAGAACTGGGGTGGCGATGATTGCCAATCGAAGCTGACACATCGTAGGCGTTATTTTCGAGAATAAGTTTGTGTGTACTTACTTTATAGGAAACCATTGTTTACACAGCTCCTTGACGACGTCAATGTCGGTTGGGCACTGGTGGGGTGGTGGAGGAGGAGAATTAGAAGAGAATCTAGGATTGTGGGCTGAAATTAGAACGCTCTCTCTTACTGTGTGGCGCAACTTGACCAGGTTGGCAGCGTCGCAAGTCGACACCGTCGGCTGGACACCTCCCGACAGCATTCAGAACGCCGACGACCATAACCAGCGACGACGGCGACGGACTGGAGGTGACACACGAGTTTGCAGATACCGGTGGGAGAGAGAGAAAGGTGCAGCAAGAGAGGAGGAGGATTACGGGGAAATGTGGGTGATATCAACGACTGAACAGCAGTGTCGTTGGGTAATGTAAATATAAGACAGCACAGTTCCAAGAAGAAGAGGTAGAAGAAACGGGCGTTGCAGTAAACACACGAGATGGCAATAAAAGAGAGCAGCGAGGAAGGTGCAATCTTGGAAGTGAGTTGCAGTTCTTAGTTGTGCAGTTTTTATGTGTGCTTGTTGTCGCCGTTGGCTAGTGTCGATGAGCTGCTTACATTCTCGCTTGTTGGAATATTACTAAGCAGTGGAATTCTTGTTGTCGGACTGGAGAGTAGAGGATCAGCCGCTTCTGCTGCTGCCTTCATTAGCGTTCCGCAGATGGCTGCACTCGAGTGCCTGGTGGACACTTTAGCCTAGACTCCGCCGGCGCTTTCATATGTTTTGGTGTCTTCTTCTGCTGCTTCTGCTTCTTCACCACTCTCTGCCTTTCTGCTGTCTCGGTCTGCTGTTGTTTTGCTTGGATTAGGTTGGCATTTAGCAGCCGCAGCAGCTGCAGCAGCTGAAGCATCAGCATCAGCGGCAGCAGCAAAACAAATTACCAGCGACTTTTGCTGTACTGTACGCGCGCAGAACTGCTGTAGCCGCTGGAGGAGAAGCTGAGCGGCTCAAGTGACTGCTGCCGCCATCATCATCACCACCACAACCATCAACACCATCATCCACACTAGCAGTAGAAGAAGAAGAAGCAAATGATGTTCAGTGGCCAGCAGGATCATGGCCTCTACGAGTACTCCTAGCGTTACCAGCACCTCCACCACTCCCACGGTCACCGCCTCCACCTCCACCCCCAACACTTCAGCAATAGCTTCAGCTTCCACCTCATCTTTGACATCTTCAGCCGCCTCCTCTTCAGCATCAGCATCTCACCCCTCAATCAGTGTCTTCAATCTTCTCGATGGCAGCACCTTTGAGGAGCGCATCGGCAAGGATGAAACCGTCCAGGTGGTGGAAGACCTCATCCTCAAGATCGTCTCCGCGGTGCTGGGCGTCAACCCGGTCGGTTTTCACCTCTTCGCGCTGTACC